CACACGTCACCACCTGCATAGCTTTTTTGATTGAAAAGAAAACTGTGAAAAATGAAAAGGAAGACTTAAAAGTGGGGTCAGTCATTTTGGAGAGAGCTGATTGTTGCATCTCATTCCCAGGTCACAAAATACTGACACTTTGTATTTGACAGCCTGGCAATGAGACTGAACTATCAACTATCTTTCTCCATAATAACTGACCCCACCTTTAAGGGAAATGTTCAAACTCTGAAAAAGTCAAAACTACAGCAAGACTTGTACTGCAGTATAAAGAACAACTTTATTGTCAGTCCAACACGTTTCACCTTGTGGTCTTTATCAGGGTCACTCTGTCTCTTCAGAAGTTCAAACTCTGTCTACAGTCTCACCTCTGCACACCTGGCCAATCGTTACGTGAAGCATTGGACTGTTGGTTTTTGATAGTCACAGAATGTTTGGACACTTTTCAACCATTCGACAAGCTGAAGCATACTAGCCCCTTTACTCCCAGTCAGTCATAAATTGTGTGTCTTTGTCTGAGGAATTAACAATCTTTAAAATCAAATCAATCAAATCAAATTAACTTAACTTAACTTAAATCAACCAGTTAGCTGCTTTGATGCTGATTAATAAAATCTAGCAGGGTGACTAGCTGCGTAGCATATGCATATAGGAAGTAGGTCAGTTTCTGAGTTCATTTCTGTCTATGTACTATGTCATTTACAGCAGAAGCTAGTTGGTTGATTCAGAATAATGTTGGCATTGTTGTAGCTCCAGCTAAGAGGAGCTAAACATGGAGGCAGTGGTTGAGCTTGCTGAAGAGAAGCAGGGCAAATGTGATTGGCTGAAAGATGAGCGGGTGGTGAGAACATTGCCTTGAAAAATGTATACAATAAATAAAAGTGTAATTGTGAAATAAACTCAACCAAAACATTGTTGAAGGTAAATAAGAATAATGAAATACTATTTCAAAATAATGATTTGACCTTAATGTCCTAAATTATGTTGCAATTTACAGTTGTATTGAAATATTTCCACAATTTAATTAAATTGTAATTTATTATAATTAATTTATTATTTATTTAACACTTCATGGCTCCATACTACAGTACTTACATAAACAGATAAAATTGTGATTGATTTCCTTTTGACAATGGCTTCTCCCTAAGCTCACCCTCAGTGTTATTGCTGGATTAAAGTTTAAGCATTAAGTACACTTAAGCACTAAGTACTCTACACTTGCTGCTCAGGGGAGGTTCTTTATAAGTCTACCAACACAAAATAGTTATAGTTGACATCTTAGTGGAGAGGCATGCTATCCACCCTGAGCTGTTAGTCCCTGCAGATACAGTATAAAATGTCTCTATAAAAAGCAGAAAAGTACATTTATGTAAGTTTGCTTTGGCAAAATGTTAATATTTGAGGTTTGTTTTATTCTGATGCTAATAGGGAACTATAGGCGGGGTCCTGAATAAACTATTCATTAGAGTGCTGACCTGTCAACACTCCTGAGAATGTCTTACATTTACATCCAACTTTAATGGACAGCTCTTTGGTACAGTGTTGATGCTAAAATAGAATATGTAATATGTCTTTGTACACACTACATGCCGTCATGAATTATGTCCCAAATGACAAGTTACAGGCACTTGTCTTAGTTTACAGTGGTCGGAGCCAATCTTTTAGTTATTTAATTGACTCTAGCTTGTATTTAGCGTCTTGCCACCTCTCTAGTTTGCAAACCCATTAAACGTGTCTGCAGAAGCAAACATTTTTAATTTACTCTTTAATTTGTTTCATTTCCATTGCTTACTACTCTGTCTATGTGATTGAACTGTATGTGGACTGAAAAAGGGAGCTGATTTTTCACTTTTTACTGCATCTTTCACCACGTCTGGGGGTCTGTCTGATGGGATCTTCAGTGAATTTTAATGGATTTCAGTCTATCTGGATATAGTTTTCATAGGATTGCACCTGGCATCTTTTGAGAGCTCTTTCTACAAGACATTTATATTTGGCTCCTTTCTGGGCTGGGCTGAAAGGAACTCATCTTGGACTTCTTGACTAACAAATTAAAGTAGGTTGTTTGAATTCACAACTGGCTAGCCTGTGGGGCCGTTCTGTTTCAAACTATAATTCATGGATTCATAGCCCTGGAACATGATAACTGCTTTTCATTCAATCTGCTCTGCATTTCCATTCATTTGCAGAGCTTTCAAGCTGCCAAATTACTCACTCCTTTTCTCTGCTGGAAACATTTTAATCTTCAAAAACATCACCTTCAGCATAATTATGTCTCTGTTACACCAAAAGCAGAGGGGACAGAGTGGGGCTTTGTCCGAGCTTTGCCCACATGTGATATCCCTAATAACATGGATATAATGAAAGGCTACTTGTTATACTCAAACATCAAAAGCTATTGTCTTAATTTGGCCAGCGGGATGTGACAAATCTGTAATTAAAATAGCAAGCTGAGTGATAAAACAAAGCCACTTGCTGGGAGACAGCGGATCCAGCTAGATATGGATCTGTCATTAGGCTAAAGAATTGTCCTTTGCCTTTTCTGCCCTTATCTCCCTAATGCGGCTACATTTCCCCAGGATTGGGCTTTTTCAGCTCGGTGTGGAAGAAGAGAGAGAGAGAGAAAAAAAAAAAATCTCAGTCACGCCTCGCCTGTTTACCGCAACGAAAGTCGAGGCCACCGGTTCATCTAGACGATGAACCAATTGCATGACAGCGCTTTATGTTTTTAAATTGCCATCAGAAATAAACTGTGCTAACACTTTTCTTGTAATGCCCCCAATCTCTGGAGCTTGTTTACAACTGCACGTGTACAGGTTCAACTAGAGGGCAACTACAATTGGATGATATTTATGTTATTTGTTCATGTTTTTTCCTGCAGCGAGGGAATGACAGCAGCACTTCTACTGTTTTTTTCTGACAGCCAAGATACTGTGTGCTTAGTCTTTCCTCTGGAACTATTAAACTGATGGTACAATATATATATATTTTTGCCAAGATTGACTTGAAGATCAAACACTCATGAATAATACATCTGGTAATGCACACTAGAATCACTGGTGTGAGCTCTGCAGCAGGCAATTTCCCATCACATGCAGCTGTTTTAAGAGAAGCCAGGCATGGCAGAGAGCAGCAACAGACCGTTCCTCCTCCTTCTCCACTTTACTGTTATTGTTAGAGCTGATTTCAAAATGCGCAGAGCCCGACAACAAGGAACACTATAAATTACCCAGAAGACTGGTGGTGGATGCAGGCTGGGACTGACCACCACATTAGTGAACTCCTGATGGACATAGGTATGGAGAAGTGTGGGTGTGTTTAAATTTATGTGAGCTGCTGGACTGAATAGGGAGGTGTGTGTGTGTGTGTGTGTGTGTATGTATGCACGTGTGTGAGACACACTGGCAGCAAGCTATTCTCCTGGACAAGAAGCTTTCAAGTAAATGAATGAATACATTATGGATTGGTGGCTGAGCATCAATAAAGCAGCCATACTGTATCTGAGTGGAGTGAAGCTCTTTGTTTGACATGTGAAGCTGCAGGAGGGTCAGGCTGAGCAAGGCCAGCAGGACAATGGGGATCCCAAGGGGCCGCCAGCAGCACCCAAGGGACCTCTGACAGAAGACTCATATCAAACCATGGCGGAGGTGGAGGAAAATACGGCTGCATCCCCACACACGCACAGATTCATTTTCTCTGTCATACACCTACACACATACTGTAGATATACACATGGATACACAGACATTTCCTTTGCCTGTGTATGTATCCTGAGGGGAAAAAATACATTCATATTCAGTGAATGATCGGCAGAGGCAGGAGCCATTTTGTTTTTCCGGCCGATGGCAGAAAGCAGTAGCCATTACGACCTTGTGATGAATTCAGGGTTCATTTCCTTCTGTTTCCTTTTTCCATGCATGCACATAGAATTAAATCTAAAAAAAGATGAGGGATGTAGCATTCGGAGAGGGAGAGAACGCTCGGTAAAGCCAACGTCAAAGCTGCCATGGTGAACATCCATGGTCTGATTTTCAACTCCAGGTATACGGTAATCGGGAGAAAGTTTCATTTGTGCCCACTGTCATTTATTCATTAGCTCGCAATCAGATCTCCTGTGCAAGACTTGAGACGCTATTAATCAGTCACCGGCTGGCCATTAACAATTCATGTAATTCATAATACATAAGAGCCGTCATTTATTTATTTATCACCTCTAAATGGGATTTCCTTCTTTCTCACTGGCTCCAACTCAGAAGTCAACTTCTGTTAGCCTGACCAACGGCCATTTTGAGGGCGAGCCAAGATGTAAACAATGCAGATCTAAGCTGAAGGGGACCACGATAGCCTGATCTCACTGTGGAGAAGAGTCTTCTCTCTGACTAAATCTAGCTGGTTTGACTGGTATCATCTGGGAGGGAAGCAGCAGGCACCAGGCTGCGGCTGGCTGCTGGCACAGTTGTTTTCTGCTGATTCTCTTGAGCAGTTGATGTAATTGTGAGTAATTAGGCCTTAAAGTGGTCTTGTCTTTCTCCAACCTGGAACATGAGTCCCGAGGGAGAGTGTGTGAGTGAGGTTGGGGGCTGTCTGAACACCAGTAGCTGGTATACAGAAGGCTGCTTTTGTCTAAACAGATCCTATATAAAGCCGCTGGAACTGTGTCACCAGATGCTGACACCATATGATCACACTGACTCTGTCACTGACACTAAATTATACTATTGCCCCGAGGGTCCCAGCACTTCTCATTGTAAAGACAAACAGCAAGTTACAATGGAGATGCAACAGCCTTGTTTGATATCTGGCTCTCTGACCAGATACTGCAATTTTCTTTACAGTACATCACATTCTGTGGGAGTTTCTTAAGAGCCTTATAGTTTGAGTATACTTGTTGAAAAACAATGGTTCAAGAGTCCATTTGTATCTCCATAAAAGAAGGTCAAATACTGTGTAATGGTCACCAGTAGTAAGGAGGGACACACTGCCGCAACAAAGAAACTTACGGGTGGCTGGCTTGTTGCAGTTGTGTCCGTGTCTGAAGTACTGAGGATTCTCCACCACAGGAATACGAGTCATCCCTATGACAACCGCATCAGGACCCGCATCCAGAGTACAGGGCGTAATAATCCCATGGTTGACATGATGAAGAGGGCTGGCAGAGTCTTCCTCACCACTGATCACAGCTACTGGACCTGGAGTGAGACAGGGGGATGATGAGTTATTACACAGTGTAACCAAGGAGCTCAAGTGAAGCTTAGCTTTGCTGTGATACTGTTTGTCTGTGTCATTGTTCCATATAAGAACATACTGTACTGGAATATAAAGCCTTCCTCCAATAAACGATGTGTTTTGTCATTGTGACCTTACCGTGATGTTTGTGCAGAGGGTTGTTTTCACTTACATTTGCTGAAAGGGGAAGGTATTCTGTATGTCTTAAAACCCGTGTGGAGGAGATCTTTAACTAATAGTCCACAAGTCAGCTTAATCAAATGAGATATGGGTAACTGTTGGGGAGGTTGGTGATTGGTTTTCAGTTTTCGGGCACTGGCCCGTGAAAATAGAGTTACAGTAGTGGCAGTTAGATGGTGCAAATTCTTCTTGTTTCTATCTGAACCTACCCATAACTCCTCAAATTTGGTATCAAGATATGAAAATGAAGGAACTATTTTAAAGGCGGACTTACAGTGGTTTTCTCAACACAGAAAAATAATGAAAATGGAATAAAAGAGAAACAAACAAACAATATAAAAAGACAGTTTTTGTTATGTAGAAACCTTACTCTGATTAACTTATATTAAAATTAATTGACAAAAACAATGTCATTTAATCATCATTTATCAAATGATAGAAAGGAAACAGACAGTTGGTGTGTTTCTGGAGCCAAATCCTTAGTTTGAATTTGTCAGTGTCAAAATCAAATGTCAAATTTGTCGTGTATGCAAATATTCATTTGTTTAAAGCTTGACAGAAAATGACCCTGCAGCTATTTTGATAATCGATTAATATGCAGTTTTTCAAGCTCCCTCTTTATTTTATATTATTTTAATTCATGTATGTATCTTTGAGTTCTGGACTGTAAATCTGGCAATTTTAATATTCAAGGATTCAATGTTATTTAATAATATTTTACAATGCAGGGTTGTATAATGAAATTCAGATTGTAGTTGCCTTTAAGCTACTCGCAAAACAAAATGTATATATACAAAAATTATTTACAGTACAATTGATTAATACAAATAAAATATATATATGTTACCTTTGGGTCTTGGAAATTATAATTGTCATAAAAAATTAATTAAAAAAAGTAATTTGCCAATGACTAATAATGAAAATAATCATTATTTGCAGCACATGCAATCAGGAAAAAACATCCTTTTATCCACTCATCTATAAAATGAGTTACTACGTCAATACAATACACAACAATAATTTTGTTTCCTTTCTAAATATTAAAAAAAAGTCCCAAACATGATGTACTGTCAGTCAATGTGATCCAGTTTCCTGTTCTATCACGGATGTGTCAAAAGCAACACAACAACCTTCATGGGGGAGGGAGAAGAGAAGGAGGGAAGGGTGGGGAACAGCAAGTAGATATAAAGTCAACAGCCAGTCGCTGATTCAGTGGAGCTCTGACTGTTTACCCACAGAGTTGAGTCTCTCGTTCACCTTGACAACATAGTAAATAGTAATCAAGATCCAGTCATATCAAATTATAGACCCTGAGCAGCAGGGGGGTGGGGGGTGACGAAGTGACACATGTGAGCAGCAATTTATTTACAACATTTGCTCTTAGACAGGGTTTTCATACCGGAGCACCCGTTTTATTGGAGAGATGTGCACAGCAGAGCGCAGGCCATCACTGGGCGCCTACCTACCCAACCACTGGGGACAAGTGGCACAATGCAGCCCTAAATCTCTGCTGATGCCTCTGACCCTCCACTACACAGCACAGACAGAAAGATATATATGAGTACTGCCTCAAATATCACCACACTTGAAATAAAATCATTACATAGAAAGTCATGATGAGTCATGGGTAAAAGTCTTTAAAAAATGAGGAAAGATACCTCAAAAGGAGCCTAGTATTATGTTCTGCTTTTTAATATAATATAAAATAGAATGAAAACCTGTCTGATCAGACTCCAGAGCCAGATCGATGAGGCCTCGGGGAACGCCTGGCCTCGCTCCAAACCGCAGCACTCAAAACTACACAAAAACCTCCCACTTGATTTTTTGGGAGATTAAGGTTTTCTGAGGAGTGAAGGGGAAATTGGACTTCTTGACTTCAGAACATCCTAAAAATTGCATTTATGTTACCTGAGTGATGAAAAGGCCCAACGGCCTGTGAGAGGGTTTTTATCATCTGAGACGTTTCCTGCGCACAGAATGGAATTCAGCGCTGGACATTTTCCCCCGAAATGTCTATCTGAGAGTAAAGTTCCTCTCTATTAAACTAACTTTGATTTATTCAGCCGAACTGAAAAATGAAATGAGCCAACTTTCAGCTATTTTTCAAGTCTTTTCATGTCTCATCCCTTTCACAACTTTTTTGTTGTAGTAATATGGTTCATAAGGTAAATTCAGCCATGCACTATGTCTAATTCAGACCATGACTCAGCACTATGGATGTTTTTTTCAGTTCTAATTTTTCTATTCCAAGTTACTAACAGTCTTATGATATGCAGGTGTAATACTAAATATGTAACATCCACTTATACCTTCAAATCACCTTATCATGCACTGATACTAAAGTCCATTTGTCTATATTCATCTACCCTGCAACGTAAAAGAGTTGTAATTTGCTTTCTTGCCAATATTTCGATGAGAAGATAGATACCACTTTGCCAATTTTGATCTTACTATTATTGTGGCTAAAATTATGATGTCTCCTACTTCACTGTAAAGTCCATTCTCAGTGCATGTGCAGTGGCTCCTACATTGTATAAGTTGCATACTGGACCAGGACTGACTGATGTCACAAATCATGCTGGTAGGCCCCGCCCCTTAAAATCTGATTTTGAGTGAGCACAGAGAAACTTTCCACTTTCAGCAGATGAATGTGAAAACATCCTTCTGGTGTCAAACTCCGCACAGACATCATTCTGCATAGTGAAGCTCAAACATCACACTGTATGAACAAGGAATTTATTTATTTTTTGAGTAGAGGGGGGTTTTAATAATTGTGAACAAAGCACAAAATCCTGCACACTATCGACCCCTTGTACTACCTTAATTCATGGTATGGTATGATAGCACATTGTATCTCACATTTAATCTGTATAATAACCAAAGTATATGAAGAGGTTGGGGCAGATTTTTTTTAACCTTTGGCCGGAGCCAGACTAGCTGTTTCCCTGTTTCCAGCCTTTGTGCTAAGCTACGCTAACTGGCTCCTGAGAAGCTTCATATTTACTGTACAGACATGAGAGCGGCATTGATCTCTAATCTTACCCTCAGCAACAAAGTGAATAAGTACATTAAGCAAAATGTCAATCCTTTGAGAATGTATAGAACACAAACTGTTAAGTCAAATAGTTTCAATAATTCAATACTTTTTATCAAAATTAAATTGGTTCTCAGCCTCTTGCACAGCTGCATCTCACACACAAGTTGGCAAGAATGCAATTGATCATCAAAGGACATGCCACCATGGGCAAAAAATCATTCATTTATCATGTTCAGAGTAACATACACCAGTTTGTCCAGGGATTCCTTCTGGAAAAGTCTTAGATCACTGTGGCATGCCGTCGTTTGAAGATTAGTTAAATCTCATTGCTCTCATCCTTCTATGCTTTGCAAGCCAATATGTTTCTCCAGCAAACATCCCTTTACTTTTCTGAAGGAAATATGTCACTCCAGCTGCAATTCCCCCATTATTTTCAGGGATGTCATTTCGGTCGGCATTACTCAATGTTCCTTCACGTAACCTTCTGCAATCCCTGTGCAGCAAATGTTTTATGTTTATGTAAGGTGCAGTTCGCAGGTACATTAGCTAATTCAGCCAAATCAATTGATCAAGTGTGACATTTGCATCATCTGTTTCTCTGAGTTTAGAAGTCAATCTAATTTACTCTACAGGAGCAGAGGCTTCGCTGCCTTTCCCTCCTGGGTTTTAAAATGGAGTCGTTCATTAAGGTATTGTCCAAGTGCTGGGCCAGCAGGTCCATCTGTGGGACAGGCCTCAGTGATGAATTAAATGAGCATACAAACCTGTGAACCTGCCACCTTTCAAAACACAAGCCAACTTTTATCTCTACCACCTGCACCACCCGCAGGAAAGAAAAGTTATAGCAGCTGCAATGTATCTCGACATTCAGCAGTAGAAATTTAAGGTCGCCACCTACAGGCAAAGAAAGCTGTGTGTGTTGTGTCATGTGTCGCACTTACCTCCAGAAGTACAATTAATATTGTGGCTAAAAATGCCAAATGCCAAAGATTTAATAGGAGGGTATAAATCATTTTTTTTCTCATTCTAAATATCATCAAGCTTTTTCAGACCTTACACTGTGTTTTTTTCCTCCTTTTGGACAATAAAATCTGGTTAGGACCATCTCATACCTGGAATACACACAATGACCACCTCCTCACTTTTATTTAAATAAGTATTTGCTTTGTTCTCTTATTGCCCTGCCTCCATAGTGCAGGTGAGAGAAGATCTGGGTTGATAAAAATGTTGATGTGCTTATTTGAGTCACCTTCCGTTATTACTGTATGCTCAGCAGTGAGTGGAGCAGAGCAGAGTACTTTCTTTTGCCCTGGGTTTCGCCTCTCGTGCCACATGCAGCAGCTGCCCTATCTATCTTATTGGTGAAGGTCGGTGGGGTTGTATGTAGCCTGAAAACAATTCCTGCACACACTACTCCAGGCTGAAGAAAGGTATTGCCAAATACTCTTTAGCCTATTCAGCAGAAAAAAAATACAAAACTTTCACATTTTACAGGTTTCAATGTAAAATCTACAACCTTAAAGACACATAATTCACAAACAGCAGCTACTGTTCATACAGGGGGAAAACACTCAGCCTGCTGGTGGAAAAAGTGTCAAAATCAAAGAAGCTATTATTTTCCAAGGCAAACATTTGCACGTCAGCATCTACTTGTCTAAAAGCTAACTTTGGTCATATTCTGTATTTTTATTATCAAGTCAAATGAAAAGACCAAAACCAACAATTTATTTATTCTACTAATATGTA